TAAGGAGACTACAAATCAAGAAAATATTAATATAAAGCAAGGTCAAAGACTTACCTGCAACAACTCTTCGACTATATCCTTTGCATTTGACACATCGCACATCCCATATAGCAAATCAAGAGCACGTCTACGAATACTGCAGGAAAGTACAACCAAAAGTGAATCTGATACCATTAGCAAAAGAACCAAGAGAATATCAATAAAACTTTATGTTTTTGAAACAGAAGCCACCATTTGCAACGGAAATAGGATTAAGACCTAATGGACTAGTACTCATCCAATCTAGTTATCTTTTTATAGTACTGAGCCACCAGCCAATAATATAATAGTTCTTATGTGACCGATACGAATTGCTACCACAGATAATTATACCCATAACTGATAATTGTTTATCAACAAATAATGTTTTCACTAAAAAAATATGTATAGATGCAGATTCCATTTTCTTAGAGTTTCATATATACACCAAATCAAATAATTTCAATGCTTACTGAAATGATCTTAAATAAAGTCAAGTAAGGTATATTGAACTACAAGAACTAGGACCAATTTCATGATTGAAAAATTTGTCGTACTGGTTCCAAACTAGAGCAGTAAAGAGATACTGATCCGGGTTCACAAGCCATAGAGCTGATGCTGAGATGGCAAATCTAAACCAACCTGATGTCAGGGTCTTTCAAGGAGGTGACTATCTGAGACTGATGCTTCTTTATGATATCTTGAACATCTGTGACCATCAGCATTCGTGTCATATTTTCCTGCAATATTGTCATTAAATGCAGTATGAGAAGCCAAACATTTAACAATTTACTGTTCTCGCTAGGCTTAGATGCAGGAAGTGGGTATGCAAGATCTCACCAAGCCCAGATATCTGATGTTGGGCTCACGGACAGAAATAAACTTGCCAAGCAGAGCAACACACTGTGACATCATTTCCTTCTCAGCATCAAGATGCATGACCTATTTCAAAACACATTAACAAGTTAGGGGTTGCACACTAAGCCAGACAGTTTACTTGAGTGTGCTCAACAATCTAATCATCGCGAAGAAAAGCTCTCTTTGAGGTTCAATATTTCTTATGTAAATCTCTGATATATGTCTTTGAATTCTCTCTCATGGCATTTCATGGACAGGTGGTTGACTTGAGTGTATAATTAACAATTGAACCTCAAAAAGTTGAGGCTATTTCTAAGACGTATCAACTTTTTCCAGCTGTCTGACGAACTTACCAGGGATAGAGCTTCAAACAACACAGCATGAGACGCATTGTTTTTATTCACATTTTTCACAACATCTGTCCCCATCAATATTCGCTGAAGGACCTGAAATTTCCATGAATTGCCATGAGAGAGATTTAGAAGACATATTAGATATTTACACAAGAAAATTTGTACCTCAAAGAGAGCTTTTCTGGTACTGGGATCTTCAATGGTTGGAAAATATTGAAGAGCCCTCATTGCCTTAACCTGTACTAACCAACGATATATAAGTATCCAACATACCTTTAACTGAACAACAACAACACACCAAAGCTGGGGCAAGCCTCTATTTTCATAAGCTAATTTCACATAAATGTTTAAAAATGCATGGGATTGGGAAAAGGATGTGATTAAAAAATATTGAAGGTATGAACCGAGTTAAGACAAACCTGGAGCCAAGGAGAAGGGATGCCATAGTATGTGTACTCCTGAGGAACATCCTGGTTCCTAGCAAGGCGTTCTAATATTTTGACACATTTAGGTAGACAACTTGAGTACGCCTCATGATTATTAGATACCAGAGCTACAAGAAGACTCGTAGAAGACGTCAAGACACCAAGATCTCGTTCATCCAAAAGTTGTGCCATACGATCCGCCCTGGAACAAAGAGAATATGAAAGATGCATAAGTAAACTCAAACAACCAGTAATCCAAGAGCGTTCACACACACCAGCCATCAACGTTGACGGCATCCGGATTTTTTCGGAATAAGCGCAGTAGGCACAGTGCCGCTTTTTTCCTTACGAGAGGTCTGCAACTACTAGAAATCTGCAGCGAACAAGCCTCAAAACATTTATATGTTTACTTACTTATATTGGAAAAAAAACATAAACTTGTCGTCTTTGGGAGTCACTTACAAGTAGCTTTTGAACATCAGGTGCCAATGATTCAGCAAAATCTCTTCCACCAATATTTCCAACCTACAGGACAAAGTAAGCATGGCAAGGTAAGAGAGCTAGAAAAAAAGGACCAGTTTAATGAAGTAAATGGCTTTGAATCGTGCAATGATAGAGCACAAAAGACATAATGTATCCAAAGACTTCCACTAAAACAGTTATTTAACAGCATCTCATAATCAGAAGAATCTCACTATGCTCTAAAATCTCAATACAGCATGGACAAAAGACCACATACCAAGGTCAGTGCTAGGCATTGGAAAGTCTCATTCCGACCAATAATATCGTTCCGCACTGTATTTATTGCCAACTTCAAAAAGTCATGGTTCTCATTGAGCAAGCAAGATGTAACAATGTAGCCAACCTGTGATCATGGATGAAAAGTTCAATACCTGCAAATTAGGTAGTGAGCATAGAATAATACACACTGCCCTTGGGATACAAAGCATGGTTCCTGGTTAAGAGTTTCTAAGATGTTACTAAGTAAATCGTGCTTATAAGTAAATGTCTGCAATACTTTACCAGGTCAAGCCAAACTGAATAAGTTGCAAAAGCGTGAAATAGTATCTAGATCTAACTTTCCGTGATCTTCAGTGAAACTTTCTTTGTTTTAGCTTGATCACTAGAATAGATTTTAGTAAACACCCCCATCTATTAACTTCTCCTAGCCTTAGAAAGAGAATTTTGTTTGCTTGAGCAAACAAAACGTTGACTTACCTGCTTTTCTGGATACTTTGGCGCAGATATAAGAGAAACCGCCTCCATATGGCCAAAATCCACATCGTAGCCTAGCATATGTATATAAAGCATTTTCCAGACATATTTCTTCTTTTTATATGGTGTCAAAACCTGTGAAATATAAAACAACAAAGCTTAATCTACTTCTGAATGAGCTGTCCAAATTTTCCCCCGACCTTGATTTCTTTCCTTATACCATCACTACATAACCAAATTTACTGCCCCGCCATTCTTTTCTTCTAGTTCCTAATATCCTCATATACTCAGTGTCTTATATATTGACTTGAAATACACACACTAATGAGTAATGACATTCCGAGATGAAAGCAGTAGTATTGATGTTTCAAAGGGTAGAATAATGGCTAATCTCCAAAAGATATAAGCTAGCTATTCAATTTGTGTTGAATAAAAAAAATATATTGCCTCAATCCGATAAAATAAGAAACTACAGGCTCCAAAACTATCCACTCGGCAACTACAAACGATTCGGCAACTGACTACATCTTTGTTTCAACTACATTCTTATCTAACTCCCTTATCGACCTCAGAGGAATAGGTAGCTTCAAAGGAGAAATTTCCAATATCTCTAATCAATACAGAACCTCAGCAGATACTACTTAGTCATTGAATAACCACTCAATTGAGAATCAAAGATAGAAAAAAACAAAAACGAAGATAACGAAATGTGCGTAGAGAAGTCTCTAACCTTGTCATTCTTGAAGCATGTACGTATGTTTCCAAGCTCCTTATCAACTCGGAGTCTCTCCGCTTCCTTGTTCTGGCAATTACGAACGTCGCTGATAAATACGGAGAGACCTCTCATTCCGGTCATGGTGGAACCAAATCCTCAGATCCACCGTCCTCCGCCGCCTCACACGGCGCAGATCCAAACTGGCGAAACCGGATCTAACTAGGAAAGAAACCGCAGAATACAGCTGAAGGATAAGCAATTCGAGATCGAAACCCTAATCGAGAAACGGAAAATGGCACCAAACAATCGAAGAAATTCAAAAGGAGAGACTGATCTTTGGAGAAGGAGAGACGAGAGACGACTTTTATTATTTACAACTCTGACTATTCAATTTTGTGTAATTCAGTTTTTGTCTGTTTTGATTTTTTAATGCATGTGAATTTGGAAAATCCGAAATTGACTCGTCCAAAATAAATTTTTAGAAAACAAAGTTTTCAGGTTTACAAAAAAAAAAAAAAAAAAAAAAAAAAGAAAACAAAGTTTTCAATGTAATTAGAATGATTAATCAGATGATTATTCACCTTCAAATTGGGAGCAAAATGTTCTCTTTGATTAGTTGTCGGTCAAGGATTACCATTGGGTAACTAATTTACGAGGCATATATAAGTTATTAAAATTAAGTAAGAGAGTATAAATAAAATATCATTAAGGGGCACAAAACAGAAACAAGAGAACAAAAGATGAGGATCATGTAGCAGTTGGATGACAGTGGTTACTAAGCTGTCACTCGGAAGATACTTCATCTGTCAAATGATGCTTGCCATCAAACTATCCTAATCCTAAGAATATATATTTGATTCTTCGTTTTTCTTGCAAAAGAATTTTATTGTTTAAAAGTCGTGGTTCTTTCGACATCGTCGTTTCTGGGAGAAGGGTAAGGATCTAGACATTTTTGTCTTGAATCCATCTTGCTGGATTAGAAGCCCAAGAGCGCATAGGTTGTGAGGTAGTTTTTATTCGCTATAGGCGGATTTGCTTGTCGTTAATTGTTTTTTCGACTTGCAGTTTGGTTTATGCTTTCCAGAAATTAAAAAATTTTGTAGATGAAGTGTGGTTACTTACTTTCAGGCTTAAATGTTTGATCTTTGCTTTCGTACGTTGGTTTAGTTTCTGGTATCTGCGTATGCTTTCCGGGATATTCTCGTTTTCTCGACTTTATTTCCGGAGGTTTCAGTCCTGCCGGCTTATGTAATATGTGCTGTAGTATATAATAAAACTTTTGAGACAAAAAAAAAATGTTTTCTATACTCTACTCATTGGTTGCTTTAAATCTATTTCTTTATTAATTAATCTCTTCGTATCTCCACCTACCAACAATTCTCCTTTTTAACGAGGGGAAAAAAAAAAAAAGGTAAATTGTCACATACCCACATTTTTCCATATATCGATCCACGCAAACGTCAAAAAGGCCAAAAATGACGTTTTGTTGTAAAAAGTTTTTGAGTCATTATTGCATAAAAAGCATACGATTCAGAAAAATGAATAAGAGAACAAGGAGACTCCATGAGAAAAACTCAACTTCGAAAACCAAATCGAAAATGTTGTCTCGAGTATTCCGGTTAGAAGAATCCGGTCCAGATCATGATTCATGAACCACATTCTTTATCCTTTAGCTCTCGGTATATGGCCTAGTCACACTAATGAAACTCAGATAACTAACATCCCCCTTCCCTACCCCTTCAGATTAGATACTCCTGAGGAGACATCTAGGCTGGTTTACTATCCGGTTCGCAACAAAACCTAACCGGTTATTACTGAACGCCGGATAATTTAGCCCAATCCACAAATTGCATACCGCCATACACATTGTTAGCAAACCGGACTCCCACCGTGAATGCCATGGCGACCACAGGAATGCGTTTGGCCGCTGTTGAACCTTCTACGACGCGCTCGAGGCCGTTGATGATTTGGTAACGTGCATTGGAAGATATGCCGAGGAACACACCTGAACAAAAGCACAATACAGAAAGAAAAAAAAAAAAAAGAGTGAGTCTATGTAATCAACAAGTCATAGAGTAAAACCTCAGACTTGTCTCTGAGCTCTGCAATATTGCAACGACAAGAATCTAGCTAAAGGTATCATTGGCAATTCAGGTTCTTTACTTTCTAAGAAACTAAGCCCGGTTAGGAAACCGATGGCTGACAACAACAACTCGGAAAAAGAGTAGAGAACACAATATTGAGTGTTCAAGACTGTCGTTTTCATTCAACATTAGAGAGAAAAAGCTTCGATAACTCAGCAGAACAAAGTTAGAGATCAAAAGTAAAGCTTACCCCAGAGAGCAGCGCTTTCAAAAAGAGGTGGAATAGGGACGTCTTCCTCTGATTTCTTCACACTCCTATTGACAACGGAAACCCCAGATTTCAGTGAAGAACAGTTCTTTAGACAGTCAACTGTCTAGATCACATCATATAAAACCTTAGAAGATTCATTTCATCATTGAGAAGTAGCAAGATAAAGTCGATGGTGAAAGAATACCGTTTTGCCGTCATGATCAGATTTGCAATTCCTTGACCGATGAGGCCGCAGCCGAATCCAACCGACCCATACAAGAGGCCCTGGATGAAGAATCACATCAATTAATCAAACCAAAGGTAAGGAAGATCCACAAAGAACATTAAAGCAATAGTCCTTCTCCATACCTTGTAGAAGAAAGTTGCAATGCGCTGGTTAACTGAGAATTTGCATCCCGGTCTTTCAGCTTCAAAAACACTTCAGAAGTACAAACAAATAAGCCCATATAAGTACATCTCATCCCGAATATACAGCCACCAGCTCGATAGATAGTGGGAACAGTTAACCAGTTTGTACATTACTTGGAGCCAAAAGTGAAGAAAACGAGAGAGAGACAGTGACAGTCTTACCTGCTAGGAAGGGATGCACAAGCACGTTTAAGGTCCTTAAATAAACCTGTTGATGCCACAGATGGCTTCCCAATACGTGCATAGGGAGCCAATAGTCCAACCAAAGCAACATCAACTACAAGACCAACCAAAAGATCAGCCGCATACAACTCAAACTCTGACCAGAAATCTTCCCCTCTCTTCTGTACTTCTGCAAAAGTTGCACAGCAAGAGTCTATAGCTATCTGCATTAATCCGTAGAACAAGATCTTTCACATTCAATTCTTGTACATACAATCCAAAAAATGTAGTCCAAGAACAACATTAGCTTATTCATTGACAAACCTCGGTTCCGACTTTGAAAAGAAATGAAGGATCTGCAAGCATTCTATTTCGAAGCATCGCACATGATCTCATCAGAAACCCAAGCGGCCAAACAGAACCCTGCAAACATGAATCATCATCATACTAAAACAATAAAAAACCAGAATCATTCCCATATTTTCCCACAAGCAAAAACCTGTAGATCGAGGTAACGAAGAAGGAACAGTTTCCGAAGCCCCACGGATTTGGCAGCCTCCAACATATCCTCCGGTAACGTAATCCCTCTACGTTCTGTCTCTTTCATAACTTCTTCAAACTTCAAAATCGGACCAAACTCCTTCTCCTCAGCTTTATCTGCTTCATCCTCTCCATCATCTCCTTCTCCACCTCCTCCTCCTCCACCTCCGTTACCACCATTTCCACCGCCGTCGTTGTTCCCATTCTCATCGCCGCCATCACCATCATCAAGTTCCGGCTCCAAATCGCTTAAAGTCTCATCCTTTAAACCGCTATAAGCCCAATCCGGTACCGATCTACCGGAAATTTCACCCGCAACCACATCCGATCCCACACATCGGTTTCTCAAATTCCGAGAAGACAAGTCCGAATTCAAATGGATCCGTCTAGATTCAAAACCAGAACTTCTACGGAAACAAATCGACCCAATTTCAAACCTTTGACCGGATCTGCATTGCTTTCGCAGCTCTACGCTATTAAACCCATCGTTGGAAAATGTTGAAATGTGGGAAATTTTAAGGGATATAGACATTTGACTCTTCCGAGATTATCGAGTTTATGTGATCTGTGAATGAAAGATCAAATACCCAGATGCGTAAAAGCTTCAAATGTCTGGAATTTTGGAGTAAAGACGAAGAAGATGACGGAGTTATGTATGCGTTTTGATCAGTTGGTGGGGAGGTTTAAGGGTTTTGAACACACTCGTCTTGCCGTAATGGGAGACGACCAAGGAGGAGAAAATAATCAGGTACGGTTGTGTATACAGAAAGCTTAACAAGTGGCGACACGGTATTGGTTGAAAAGATTCATTTAGACAAATGAAGTTAATAGCTGTGCCCAAATTGAGTTTTGTAGCTGTAGCAACAAAACCAGAGCAGGTCCAGACTAGAAGCTCGACAAGCATGAGCTTATATGCGGTTCCCAATGTGATTAGTAGTTCTAATCCATCACGAGGCTATCTCACAAATTGTTTGATAATACGTAAATGTAAACACAAACATTAAATTAACGAATGCTCTAAACAAAAAATTTGTATCCAATTTAAGGGAAAATAAAAACAAACTCAGCAAAACAAGTCATGGTCAAATTGAATGGAAGAAGCTAATGCAACGACGAATACTCGTCATTCACAAGAACTTAATATTCTCAACGTAACCTGGAAAACACAACATCTCACGAGTTCGCTTACCAATCCCATGAAAACGTCTAAATTCATCATCAGCAATTCCTTCAACCTCCACTTTTCTTATTCTTATTCTCTCTCTATTAAAATCGTAATAGCAAACACTAAACGGCTTAGATGACCTTAACCCTGGATTAACCACCATAAGCTCACCGGTATGAATCTCCCCATTGGACGTTACGCGATCCCCAAGTAAATCACTCCACTCAAAAGCTAGGGGACACGCCATTTCCGACCACTTATGTTTCTTAGCATCCTCTAGAATCCACAATATTAGGCCTGGGCAAATAAACCGAACCGAATGTACCGAACCGAAACCGAAGCAAAAAAAAAACCGAACCGAACCGAATCGAAAATTTGAAAATAACCGAATAGATAGTAAATTCTATAACCGAAATAACCGTAACCGAATCGGTACCGAACCAAAATATTTTGGGTAACCGAAATACCCGAAATACCATTATATTTTCAAAATAATTAGTTATTTATAGACCAAATAATAAAGAATACTTAAAAAATATATAAAAATAGTAAAAATACTCGAAAATAACCGAAATATATCCAAAAATATCCGAAAATACTCAAAAATAACCGAAATATCCGAAAATATCTTAAGCAAAATAACCGAATGGATACTAAATTTTAAAACCGAAAGAACCGGAACCGAACCGAAACCGAACCGAAATTTCAAAATATCCGAATGGATACTAAATTTTGAAACCGAAAGAACCGATAACCGAACGGACCCAACCGATAACCGAACGGTTAACCGTAAGCCCAGGCCTACACAATACTATCTCTCCAGCGCAATCATATTCTACACCGCCCAATTTGCCATTGTAATTTATAAGAGCGGAAAAGTGCGCTATATCTGACCCTTCTGGTATTTGAATTAGCTCCAGCTTCTCAGATCTAACATCGAATATATCTATTCCTGAGCGTCCATCTCCATAGTATATAGCACCATCCATGCATATTCCTTCATGTACCGTGATATAAGTAATATCTTGGGTGATTTCAATCTTTCTCCACTCTTTTTGTTGAGAGCTTAACGTGAAAACGTAATGCTCTTGTTGGATATCTCGTTGGTTAGCGTTGTAACCACGGAATATCATTACACACAACACTTTGTATTGGTCTTCCACCGTATACGTTTCTTTTGTTGGATACAACATCTGGCAGTTTCACTATTTGTCTAGTGGTTGGATTACAAACCGCGATCGAAAAGCCTCGCGTGCAGCAGACGAAACCGTTCACGGGGCGAGATCTGATGTAGTAGACCAGATCCGAAATCGTCATGTCGTGTCTGGCGACGAATGATGAGACTTTGTCGTCGTTGTCATTGTCGGGTTCAGGAGCTGAGAAGATGAAACGTTTTCGGGAATCGAAGTGTTTGAAGGTGAAAAGGAGACGAGGACGAGTCTTTGACCTAGTCAGGAACGAGTCTGTGAAATCTTTACTGCGGATGATTGAGAACCAGAGCTTTGACACGTATTTGGAATCGGATGATGGAATTCCCCGGAAGTCTAGCGAGTATCTCGATGGTGAGATCAAGAGGAATGTTTGTTGTGGAGTTTTCGGCGTGAACTAGGTTACTTGAGGGAGAAGGTTGTGAATCTTCCATGGCGGCTGGTGGTAAATCGTCTGTTGATGAACCAAAATACCATAAAGATGATATTATTCATGTTTGGGGTTTATTATCTCTAAGGTTTTGGAGTTTTGAAACCTTCTTTCTCTTGTAGAAGGTTTGACTAAATGAGAAATCGGGTTTATGGATATTTATTTAATTCGGGTATGAGTCACAGTTGAGTTTCTATTTTAAATTCGGATATATTCGTTAATTTCTCGGTTTATGTCGAGATTTAACATGTTATAAATTAGTGAATGCCATTAACTCATATATATTCTTATAGATTCAGTTAGACAAAAGTGTAGTATATATATACTCTCGTCAAATATACAGAGGTACTCAAGCTTGGACACAAAAGTGAAGTAGTTTATACTCTCCTCTTTCAAGAGTAGTTTGATATTCGCCTACACCTTCCGACCAGGCTAAGCAAACGAAACCGCAAAAGTTTTTGCCAGATGTACTTACTTTCACAACTTATGAGGCTATAGTTTCCTCTAATTTACTGGATTGGTTCCAGCCATTTGTAATAGCGGATCAACCACCAAAAACTATATATTGCCTATGCAGATAAATTTCATTCGGAAACAAAACAAAGGTCTAAAGAGAAATCTGCCTTTGAGTCCTAATGAAAAAAATGGCCAAGTTTAATTGATCACCAAATGATTGTCTATTCTGTTTTTTTTTCCCACATATACTACATCCTCTTAACTATAAACATAAATAAGGCCATCACACAAATTGATTCAAGTTTAGGTTACTTACATGTAAACACAAACCTAAAAGAAATGAAATTAAAGCTTTAAAATAAAATTGTAGAACAAGTCATGATCGAGAAAATGTAATGAAAGTGAAACGATGGAAAACTTGTCACTCACAAGAACCTAATATTCTCAACATAACCTGGAAAGCCCAAAATCTCACGAGTTCGCTTACCAATGCCATGAACACGTCTAAATTCATCATCCGCAATTCCTTGGACCTCCACTCTTCTTAAGCTCTCTCTATGAAAATCGTAATAGCAAACACTAAACGGCTCAGATGATATTAACCGTGAATCAACCATAATAAGCTCACCGGTATGACTCTCTCCCTCAGAGGTAAAGTAATCCTCAAGTAAATCATCCCACTCAGAAGGTCGGGCAAACCTCAATTCCGACCATTCTTGTTTCTCAGCATCCTCTAGAATCCACAATATTGTCTCTCTAGTGTAATTATAATCAACACCGCCCAATTTTCCATTGTAATTTAAAAGAGCAGAATCGGACGTTTCCGTGATTAGTGAATTTTCGGGTGCTTGAATTAGCTCCAACGTCTCAGATCTAACATCGAATCTAACTATTCTTGAGCGTCCATCTCCAAAGTATATAGCACCATCGATGCATATCCCTCCATCGACCGAGCGATAAGCAACACCTTGCGTGATTTCAATCTTTCTCCACTCTTTTTGCTGAGATTGCAATGTGAAAACGTAAGGCTCCGGTTGGGTACCTTGTCGCTTACACTTAGCACTGTAAGGATCGTAAAACATTACACACAACACTTTGTATTGATCTTCGACTGGATCGTATCCGAGACGTGCGTACACGTGTCTTCCGTTGGATTCAACATCTGGCAATTTCACTATTTGTCTAGTGGTTGGATTACAAACCGCGATCGAATCACCACGCGTGCAGCAGACGAAACCGTTCACGGGACGACATCTGATGTGGTAGACCCGATCGGCCGAGATCGTCATGTCGTGTCTGGCGAAAACTGTGGAGGATTTGTCATTTTTTTGGTGTTCAGGAGCTGAGAAGATGAAACGTTTCCGGGAATCGAAGTTCTTGAAGGTTAAAAGGAAACGAGGTCGAGTCTTTGACCTAGTCAGGAACGAGTCGACGAAATCTTTACTGCGGATGATTGAGAACCAGAACTTAGACACGGCTTGGAACCGGATGAGGGATTTCGCCGGAAGTCTAGAGAGTATCTCTAAGGTGAGATCAAGAGGAATGTTTGGTGTGGAGTTTCCGGCGTCATCTAGGTTACTTGAGGGAGAAGTTTGTGAATCTTCCATGGCGGCTGGTAGTGAATCGTCGATGATTCACAAACCTAAAACCAAATTACAAAATAATATTAAAGATAAAAATAAATATATTTTCCCTGTAATTTATTACACAAATAAATATATTTTTGTTACTTTCCAACCACTTATAGTCCGGGCGTTCGGGTATCCGTTCGGTTCTGGTTCGGTTCCGGTTCGGGTTCGGTTCCGGTTCATTCGGTTCTAGAGTTTAGGATCTATATAGGAACCGAACAATTTTGGTTCGGTTCCGGTTCTGAAGTTTATGATCCATTCGAATATTTTTTTCGGATATTTTAAGATATTTTGGATATTTTTGGGTATTTTTGGATATTTTTGAGTATTTTTTGGATATTTTAAGTATTTTTTATATATTTTCTAAATATTTGTTGGTATTTCGGGTACTTTTTGTTATTTGATCTTATAACTAATATTTTTAGATATAAACTCATGAGAAAGTAAAAACCATGATTTTGAGGTTTTTGTGGAAAACTTTATTTTTCAACGTGATTATGTTTCATTTTTGATTTTTTTAATAATTTTAATATTTGTAGCAAAAAACCAAAAACCAAAATTTTAAAAACCAAAATCGAGAAACTAAAATCTAAAAACCAAAAACCACTTAAAAACTACTCTCTCTATTTTTGAAAAGTTGTCGTTTTAACTGTATTTGGACAAATTAAGAAAAGGTATACAATGACTATATTAACCTCATAAAAATGACAAGTAATTATTTACAAATAATTTGTGTTCAATAAAATGAGGGTAATTTGGGTAGTTATTGGCATAAATTACATTATTACCTTAAAATGACAACTAATTTAAAACAAAAAAAAGCTCTAAAACGACAACTATTCGAAAACGAAGGGAGTACAGTAAAACCTTTATAAATTAATAATGTTGGGACCATGAAATTTTATTAATTTAGAGAGGTATTATTTTATCGATAAATTAATAAATATTAATTTATAGAGAGATTTTACTAATTTTGTAATTTTTTAAAAAATTTCTATCTAAAAGTTAATTTTTTCTTTATAAGCAATATATTTTTAAAACCAATTACAAGTACAAAAGTAATTATTAAGTTTAAAAATCAACACAAACTTTTTTCGAATAAGAGAGTCATATTTCATTAAATATCTTACATATAATATTTAAAATATATATCATAGTAATTCATATATGAAATATATAAATTTATATCATATATATTAAGTTAAATATACATATATGTATTGATAAGTTTATACAATTATTAATTTATGATATAGATGAGACCATATATTTACATGGGATTTTAAAAAAAGTTATTATCTTATTAATTTATCGATTTATGTCATATTTTACATTGGTCCCAACTCGGAACCGGAAGAATTTATTAATTTAGAGGGTTATTAATTTATAGAGGTTTTACTGTAGTAAACATTCGGGACCTGATATTTTATTTTTTAGAAACTCAAATAGTATTTTATTGTTGGAGATGGTAAACCAGCCCATGTAGTTTACTTTTACAATGTTTGACTTTTAAAGATTCACATTTGATTTGAGGAAAAAAAAATCCGTTTCGTCGTCTTCGTCATCCTCCAGACTCAGCAGAAATCACTCGGTGCAGAGAGGAGTTGAGAAAGCAGAGCTGTGCTGATATTGAGGTAAGTCATGGGAAGTTTAAATTTTTCTCCGAAAAAATCAAAATTTCTTGGAGAAGTATATGTTTCATCTTCCTTTTGGTATGAACTGAGAAATTTGCTGATAACGATTGATTCTCTGAATATGTCTCCCTTTCCTATTTTATTAGAGTTACGAGAGAATTATGTTCGTTTGGGTAATTTAGTTAACTTTTTCCTGTTTTCATTTTCAGTCTGAACTCAAAAATTTTGGTAGTTTCCATGTCACATCTATGAAGCAATCATTGGAACTTGATCTAATTGAAGTTTAGATTTAGTGATGAATATGTTAAGTATTAACTCTTGATTCATTTAAGAGCTGAGAAGGGAGCATTAATAATGGCTGAAGCAGTGGTGGCATTTGGATTGCAAAAGCTTTGGGAGCTTCTAATTCGAGAATCTTATCGGCTTAAAGGAGTCCATGAACAAGCAACCGAGCTACAATCCGATCTGCGACGGCTAAAATCGTTTGTGAAAGATGCAGAAACTAAGAAAAGTAAGAGTGAGAGAGTTAAAAATTGTGTGGATGAGATTGTGGAAATTGTGTATGATGCTGAAGACATAATCGAGAGTTTTCTTATCAAAGAAGAGAAGTGTGGAAGAGAAAGTGGGATCAAGAAGCACTTAAAGAGTGTTTCTTGTATCACATTTTCTCACCAGGAGTTTGGTTCACAGATCAGAAGTATAATCAGTAGAATTTCCAAAGTTATTGACAATATGGAGAGATTTGGAGTGAGAGAGATTATCGACAAAGAAGAAGAAATAATGGGTCCTCTTGTGGAGATTCGACAATCTTTTCCTAGTGTTTCTGAAAGCAGCATTGTTGGTGTGGAACGTAGTGTTGAAGAACTAGTGAGTCATCTTGTGGGAGAGGATTGTGTTCAAGTGGTTTCGATATGTGGGATGGGTGGTATTGGGAAAACCACTCTTGCTAGACAAGTTTTTCATCATGAGATGGTGAGGCGTCATTTCCATGGTGGATTAGCTTGGGTGTTTGTTTCACAGGACTGTAGGCAAAAACATGTGTGGCGGGTGATATTACAGAGCCTTAGGCCTAAAAATGAGGAACAGAGAATTGTGGAAATGACGGTGTCTGGACTACAAGATGAGCTCTTTAAACTACTTGAAACAGAGAAATGTTTGATTGTCCTTGATGATTTGTGGAGCAGTGCAGCTTGGGAGCTTATAAAGCCTGCATTTCCACATAGCTCAGGTGACTTTTGACCATGAATCATAATGTTTTATGGATAAAATGTTAGTAAACAACAGCATATGTCTCGTTTGGCGTCTAACGTTGAAACATGGTCAACTTTTTGCAGGAAGCAAGATCTTACTCACTTCTCGGAATGAGGGTGTTGGTTTGCATCCAGATCTAAAGTCCGTCATCTTTAGGCCTAGATTTCTAAGTCATGAAGAAAGCTGGGAAGTTTTTCAGAAGATAGCTTTATTTGAGAGAAACAATATAGGTATGTCTTATACAGGAAACCATGGATGAATCTGAAAGGTCTTTTTGCATTTTATGGAAGTTCTGACTGCTAAAAGGAATGAACTAAGAGTCTTATGTTTTGTGTGTAGAGTTTCATGTTGATGATTTAATGGAAGAGATCCAACAAATGCTCAAACATTGTGGAGGGTTACCATTAGCTGTGAAAACTCTTGGTGGGTTGTTAGCTACAAAACGTACATCTTCTGAGTGGAGAAAGGTACACAACAATATTGGATCTCATATCGCAGGAGAGATTGGTGAAAGTGACGGAAATGGTATTTTGGTATTCAATGTGCTGTCTTTGAGTTATGAAGATTTACCTTCTCATTTGAAGCACTGCTTTCTTTACCTAGCTCATTTCCCCGAAGATCATGAGATACAAACAGAGACATTGTTCAATTACTGGGTCGCAGAAGGAATAGTGATGGTACATAGTGAAGAGACTACTATTGTAGATGTAGCTGAGGATTACCTCGAGGAGTTGGTTAAAAGGAGTATGGTTTTAGTAGGGAAGAGGAACACTGTGACATCAAGAATTGAATCTTGTCGTCTGCATGACGTTGTTAGAGAAGTATGTTTGTTTAAAGCCAAAGAAGAGAATTTCATACAGGTTTTCAATGCTCAGAGCCTTGTCCTGAATGCTACTAAAGTTCTTTCACCTGATGTGTCCACCAACAGATCCCGCAGACTCGCTGTACATTTCGTTGATGATGACGAAAACGAACCTAGTATATTTCAGCAGAGACAAATTCAAAACCCCAAAGCAAGGACCCTTTTGTATATCACTAGAGATTTCAGTCCTTGGATTTTATCATCCTCGAGTTTTCGAGGTTTACGGTCACTTAGAGTCTTGGATCTCTTTGGAGCTCAATTCAGAAGACGCAAGTTACCTAAGAGCATAGGGAAGCTCATCCACTTGAGGTACCTGAGTTTGAAAGAGACAAACTTGTCTGTGTTACCGTCTTCTTTGGGGAACCTAGAGCTGTTGGTTTATTTGGATTTAGAGATTTACGAGACTATGGTTCACATACCAAATGTCTTAAAGAAGATGAAGAAGCTGAGATATCTTATGCTACCGGACGAACTAAGCAATAAAACAAAGTTGGAGTTAAGTGGTTTAGTGAAGTTGGAGACACTCAAGAACTTCTCACTAAAACACAGTAGCGCTAAAGATCTCATAAACATGACCAAACTCAAAAATTTGTGGATCTGTTGTGCTTCCGATAACCCTGGAGAAGAAGTTTTACCTTTGTCACTCGGTGCATCACTGAAACAGTTGGAGGAGTTGATGTTGTACAATAAAAGAAACAGCCAGACCCAACCCGTGAAGATCGATGCAGGAGCCTTTGTTTCAGGTTTTCAAAGACTTAATCAGTTAAGGTTAGATATAAAGATAGAGAAGTTACCTAATGAACTTCAATTCCCTTCCCGGATCGCCTCTATTTCATTATCTTCTTGTGATCTATCCGAGGACCCAATGCCAGTTCTCGAGAAGCTACACAACTTGAAGATTGTTAGTCTAGAACTGAATGCTTTCACAGGAAGGAAAATGGTCTGCTCCAAATCCGGGTTCCCTAAATTGCATACTCTAGAGTTTTCGATACTCGATAACCTTGAAGAGTGGGTCGTAGAAGAAGAATCAATGCCGTTTCTTTGTCGTTTAGAGATCAATGACTGCAGAAAGTTAAAGAGTCTTCCTGATGGATTAAAATACATTACTACTTTAGAGGAGCTAAGAGTAGGATGGATGCAGAATGAATTCAAGGATAAGTTAATCCAAGGTGGAGACGATCACTACAAAATACAACATGTATCTTCTGTTGTATTTTACAATTGCGGTGAAGAATAAGATAGACGGAAAACAACAGTGATCAACATTAGATTCTATCTTATTGTTATAAGGAAGTACAAGATTCTTCTTCTAGAGAAATAGTCTTAGAAACAAGGCAAAAGAAAATAAAGAAAATATCCCAAAAGAAAGGAGAAGCTACTGAAAGAACATAATATTCTCAATGTGACCTGGAAAACACAACAATTGACGAGTACGCTTACCAATTCCATGGATACGTCTAAACTCATAATCCGCGATACCATCAATCTCACACCTTCTGATATCCTCCCTGGTCATATCACAATAGTAAACACAAAAGAGCTTAGATGACTCTAACCTCGCAGGTCTGGAAACAATTATAACCTCGCCGGTATGAATCTGTCCGGTGCACAAAGATCTCTCTTTCTCAAACAAATCTCCCCACTGACAAGGCACATCACAAGTCATAATGCTTGACCATTCTTGTTTCTCAACATCTTGTAGAATCCACATACCCATCTCAGTGTTACAGTAGGGGTCATACGTTACGCATGCTAATTTTCCTTGGTAATTTATAAGTGTTGAGAAACATGAGATTGCATTAAAGTCTTCTGGACCATCTGGTCCTTGAATAAACTCAATCTTCTCGGTTCTAACATCAAACCTAGCTATCTTTCTATACAAAACACCATAGTATATAGCACCATCTATGCAAATCCCACCTTTCATGTGGCGGTAAGGATCTTCTTCTTCGGTTATGTCAATCTTTCTCCACTCTTGTTGTCCCGAACTTAGCGTGAAAACGAAATGCTCCTGTTGGATATCTTGTTTATCAGCGTCGTATCCATCGAACATCATTACACACAACACTTTGTATTGATCTTGGACTGGATCGTATCCTAGACGTGCGTACACGTCTCTGCCGTTGGATTTAACATCTGGAAATTTCACTATTTGTCTAGTGGTTGGATTACAAACCGCGATCGAATCACCACGCGTGCAGCAGACGAAACCGTTCACGGGGCGAGATCTGATGTAGTAGACGAGATCAGAGATCGTCATGTCGTGTCTGGCGACAACTGTAGAGGATTTGTCATTGTTGTCGTGTTCAGGAGCTGAGAAGATGAAACGTTTTCGGGAATCGAAGTGCTTGAAGGTGAAAAGGAGACGAGGACGAGTCTTTGACCTAGTCAGGAACGAGTCAGTGAAATCTTTACTGCGGATAATTGAGAACCAGAGCTTTGACACGGCTTGGAAACGGATGAGGGATTTCGCCGGAAGTTTAGAGAGTATCTCTAAGGTTAGATCAAATGGGATGTTTTTTGTGGAGTTTCCGGCGTCATTTAGGTTACTTGACGGAGAAGGTTGTGAATCTTCCATGGCGGCCGGTGGTGAATCGTGTGATGATGATCCACAACCCTAAAAACAAAGTACAATATGATATTAAAGCTAAAAATAAATATATTTTTCCTTGTTATTTATTACTCAAATCAACATATTTTTGTTCTTTTCATTTACTTAGGTTAGGGGGTGTATTGAATAAATGATTTGGAATGATTTCTATTCAAACTAGGGGATAATCCGGGCGTAGCCCGGTATACATTCGATAATAATTAAATAAATTTAGTTGTAAATTTAGTGATGTAGTATCTAACATATGTTTACAAAAACATGTATGGTACAAGTAATTATTCAGTTTTAAGACTGTAGTATATATTATAAAACAAAATTATTTGACAAAAAGTATGTATAAAATCAATTTGAAAACAAATTCTATCTACTTCTACATTGGATGGATGACCACTGAGAGTATTCTCTTGAACACATCTACCCCAAAGGCCGAGTCCTATAAGCTGAAGGACAGAGACTATGCACAGAAGTCTGCAATTAGTTGCCTGCAAAGGAGAGAAATTGGTAAAGGAATTGATCGAAGAGAAACGGATGGGTGTTACGAAAAAAATCTGTCAACTGACGGCAAAGAAGCTCACAAAAGAAGAATATTGTGAGTAGTCTAATATAACTATGTCAAGAAGAATCTGTAGTTTTCAGTTGTTATCTCTCTAAGTTTTTTAAAACATTCTTTTGCTTCCACATTAAATAAAAAGAAACAAAATAGAGAGTAAAGAAGAGAATGAAAACAAAGAACTTGAGAGAAGAGAGGGAACGAACCTGGAGCTTGATGGAGAAGATCAAGAAAGTCTGATCTGAAACAGAGTGAAGAGACAAGAATTCAATACCATCATGATAAGCTTTTCAATCCTACCTATGCAACAAAGCCAAATTAAAATCACCATCATCATCATTATTATTCAAACCGAATATGGAATAAATCAAACCCATGACAGTCAAGAGAAAGAGAAATAACCACAACCACGTAGTAATTGCTTAACACTCCCAAACAAAATGCAGTGGTAAAAGTCTTCTTACAATACTTTGAATAACAAAGACAAAATCACTAAACTTGGTAATGAGATCAGACATCAACTAAATAGTACCTCTAAGTGGTCAATAAGACTCTCCGCAACAGCATAAAACCAACAAAACTTCAATTTCGTATAAGTATTATAGACAATCAAAAGATTCCCAGTATATCGAATTCAAAGATAGTCTCAAGCAAACGTATTCAATTTCTTGAAAACACAGAAGCAAAGAAACAAAAGAGCCACAAACCTTGACTAGCTCCCATTTATTTTTCGGCTTTGGCTTGCATATCGTGCAGGGCAGCAGCTTCTTCCTCTATCTCTTTCAATCCCCTCTTTATCTCATCAAGCTCTTGATACCACGAAACCAAAACACACAAATAAAACATAAATATAAAAAAGAAGTAAAAAATCAAATCGAGCAAACACACATAAGAGACAGAGAAGCAGACCTTAACGACGTCATCATCTGCGGCAAGCATATCCGGATTCAACAATGAATTGTTTCCTTCTTCTCCATCTCTCTGATAGCTTTCATCTGGCTCCTTCATCAGGTGCGCGCATTTTCCTCCCGACTCTTCGTGTCGAATTGTTAAGTAAAGAGTCTCCCGACTCTTCAACCCGAGAGAAACTAAAAAATATGAACAACGTCAGTAAAAAAATTGTTAAAAAAAAATCAAACACTTGAGGATTCTATAGAGCTTAGATGCTAAAATGGAACAATTTAACAAACATATGAATATTAAAACTACGTTACTCCTGACTATGCATACAAAGACGGTTTAACTAAATATTTTCTGAAAATCGTAAGAGTTAATACCACCATAAGGACAGAGTCCAATAGCGAAGAGATGAAAAATCTAACGACATAAAAGGAGTCGAATAACTCACGAGATGGAGAGGCTTGAATTTCGACCTGCTCCTTCATCACCCCATCTCTCTTAGAAACAGTATTTAGAATCCCTAATTATTGTCGAATTATGAAGCTATATGACAGTTTTGGATTTAAATAGGAAAAATATCAATTATGGTTTAAGCGTACTACCGTGAATCTGAGTGTTTCCATTTTTGATTGACAGAGTAAATGCAATTTCTCTGACCATGAAATTTGGATTTCTGTCGTCTGAATATCTTCTTTTATGCATCACTTCTTCCTCGACGGCAAAATCTACCCATCAAGCTACAACCGCTCTCATAAAAAAGTTTGATTCCGCTACATGTTCATCGCAAAACTAAACAAAGGAAGCTAAAGAGGCATATGTAATATTCTGCTCCCAAAAAAAAATGGCATTTAATTTGTACTCTCCAGTGTTTTTAATGGAGATAGTATTCTTTGGAGTTAGAATAGAATATGAAGAGGCATCTATATGACTGTTTCTAATTTGTTTTTAGTGCTTGGTATTAAATTTGCAAAAATAATCGAAGAAGCATCCTGAAGCCAAAGGGGACGCATGAGATTTAAGCTCGGTGACGTGGCTTGATTTGCGTATTTTTAAATACGTTTGCTGATGTGGCAGTTTAAAAACAACTATCTCAAAACCTGATGTGGATAGCCGCTTCAAACAACCCCTTTTATTAGTAAGAGATGACAAAAGGGAAAAATATCATTTAATAGCCCAACTTTCAAATTGTGGCCGTTCCAGACACCAACTTCATATATGGCCATTTTAAACATGAAGATATCGTTGACCAACCGTTTGAACCATTAATATTCGTTGATCATGCCAAAAAGACAAACCGTTATCGATCGTTAACAGACTATCTAACATCCGTTAACACCTCCGTTAGACACCCCAAAACGATGTCGTTTGAGCTTTCATCGAATTTATCCAGAAGGATTCGAACCCATCACCTGCGAGTGCTCCCTGAGCTTACTGAACCAACTAAGCTAGAGTGTGTTAATGACTATTATTCACAAACACATAATTATATATCCGGATGCCGTTAGATACATCAAATCCGGTGAGAGCAATTGCAGAGCAGATACATAAGGTGCGACAACGAAGGTGCCTGTTAGACGACGAAGAACTAGTGCAGTTTGTGTTGCTGATTTCATATGAATCGACGAATCCATCAATGGTGTCCATAGAAACAAGTTCCGATGAACTGAATTTAGCAAATTCGAGATCTTTTCAATCAACGAAAAAACGATATGGTTACGATTAAAGAGAATCATACGAGAGAGAACACAGATTCGGAGGCGGCTATGGAGATGTTTTGTTTCGTAGGTTGAAGATGAAGAAGAAGAGCTCTAAGAATATATAAGTACATGTGTTTCCATAGAATTACCAATAAAACGCTACAGGTGAATTGGTTAAGTACCCTTTAGTCTTCTTTAGAGATTAGAGGTTCGAATCCTAGGTTTGTAAAATTTATTTTTAAAAGACAAAAACAACGTCGTTTTGGAGGTGTTAACGGATGTTAGATAATCTGTTAACGATCGATAACGGTTTGTCTTTTTGGCCTGGTCAACGAATGTTTATGGTTCAAACGGTTGGTCAACAATATCTTCATGTTTAAAATGACCATATATGAAGTTGGTGTCTGGAACGTCCACAATTTGAAAGTTGAGCTATTAAATGACATTTTTCCCATTATTTAAATATGAATTTTAAAAAGTTTTTTTTTAAAAATAAAGTGTTATTGGATTCTAAAATGTATAATCAAATCCATTGTTATTGGATACATTTTAATTAGTAGATTTGAAGTTATTTGAGTGACTTTGTGTGTGATTTCAGATAATTTATTAGTTAAAAATACAAAGATACAAATCTCATAGTTTTATGTGAGATTTGACTATTTGAGAGATTTTTAATAAATTTTTTTTTGTAAACAACATTTCACAGGAATGGCTCTTTTGAGCTCTAATTAATTTCGGACGACAAAAAAAAATAATAATAATAATAATAAAATTTTTGATTCACCAAAATCATCTCAAAATTCAATAAAACTAAGTTCATCATTGAACACACCCCCATTAGACACTAACTCAGTTTCAATCAGCTGTTTAGTAGTAACTGATTACGCTTATAGGCCCATCTAAATTAGACTAAAGAAATTACCTAAAAGCTAAAATTATTATCCAAAAATAAAAACTTTAAAATAACACTTAAAAAATGAAAATACTATACATTTAAAATTTGCAAACTTTCATGTTTCTTTTTTTATATTAAAAGTTTAAATTTAACATCCTACAAAAAAAAAGTTTAAATTTAACAAAAAAATTAAAACATACTCCATATTTTACATATAACTTTTAAAAAGCTAGTGTAGATAATAAGAAATGAATCAATGATCAAATAAGTAAACTATTGACCAAAAAGGGGAATGTCAATGATATAACGTAATACAAATTAACGTAGTAATTGGTTAAATATATAATTTCTTAAACTCTTACATATTAGTACATTTTGAAGAAACTATCTTCTATATATTAAAAGAGAAATTTTTGTAATGATTATCCGTACATAGCACGGTTTTTACCTAGTTCTCCATGATAATAGACAATTTTTTATCGCACTCAAGGAATCAAGTTTCTTGTGAGAAAGTTTTTCTTTGAAAGACCCTGTGCATTCGCTCTCCCCATTGTAGATGGTTCAACGGCGCCCGGTGCCACGAAATGATTGAGCGTATACGATCATTGAGCCGGTCACCGGTGGCTTCCTCACTTGTGATGTGAAGCTGCTTTCCCCCAGGCTTGCGCGGTTAAGTTTGTTGTACACCTGCTATCCTCTTGAGCAGCTTTTGATGTTGATGCCGCTAGTATGGTATGTCAAAGTTGGAGCATATTACTGGCTTGAATCGGGTGAGATATTCGGACGGATGAGATATTGTTCCTAAATGTCTTTGGTGAGCTTCACGATTTGAATGAAGAACCAAGTTGAGATACATTGAGTTTACTATTATTGATTTATAGATTCTTTATGTATTTTGGGTGAACCTATTTCTCCTCAACATGCTTCAAACATAATGGCCCTCACTCACATGGAGGAAAATGGTCACCTAAATTAATTATCATACTCTAGAGTCTTTAATTAACTGTCATCTCGAGATCAATGATTGCAAAAAGTTCTAGAGTCTTTCTGACGGATTGATATACATCACCGCTTGAGAGGAGTTACGAATTGTGATACTTCTTTCAATCAATAGATAAACGGAATTCACAACTCTTGCTACGAAGCTTACATATGAATTTGTTCTTGTAGTAACCGCACACACAACACTTACCATTTGTTCTTTTCAAATGTAATATTATAGGGGAAGTATTAGTTAACCATTAACATAAACATGATTTACTTTCTTACTTCTTCTATCCACTTTTATTAAAACTCTGAAAAATATTAAAATAGACGAGAACCAAAGCAAAGCCTTCAAACAAAAGAAATTATTGTAGGAAGTTAAAAGTTAATAATCTCTAAATAAACATAATTAACTAGGAAGAGTAGTGTTACAAGAACATGATATTCTCAATATGACCTGGAAAACACAACATCTCACGAGCACGCTTACCAATTCCGTGGATACGTCTAAACTCATGGTCCGCAATTCCTTCAACTTCCGCACTTCTGAAACTGTCTTTGATCGGATCGTAATAGAAAACAGAGAAAGGTTTAGATGATTCTAAACGATCAGAAACCAACATAACTTCTCCAGTGTGAATCTCTCCCGGAGAAGATAGTCGTCTCTTGTCCCTAAACAAATCTCTCCACTCACAAGGCACATCACAAGTCATACAATTCCAATATTCCTCTCTTTCTTGCATCCAAAGACGCATCTCATAGAAGTAATCACACTCTATTCCTCCTAACTTTCCTTGGTGGTTTATAAAAGTCCAACGATAAACGTTTACTATATCGTCTTTCTGTGTTTTAATAAACTCCACTTTCTCGGATCTAACATCAAATCTAGCTAACATTTTGTGTCCAACACCTCCATAGTATATAGCACCATCGATGCATATTCCTCCTTGGACATCTGTGTAAGAATCTCCGGTGACTTCAATCTTTCTCCACTCTTTTTGTTGAGATCTCAGTGTGATAACGAAATGCTCCTGTTCTATGTCTTTATTCCCACCGCGGCCGTAGCCATCGAACATCATCACACACAACACTTTGTATTGATCTTCGACTGGATCGTATCCTAGACGAGCATGGACGTCTCTTCCATTGGATACAACATCTGGCAATTGTACTATTTGTCCTGTGGTGGGATTACAAACAGCGATCGAAGAGCCACGCGTGCAGCAGACGAAACCGTTCACGGGGCGAGATCTGATATAGTAGACGAGATTCGAGATTGTCATGTCGTGTCTGGCGAAAACTGTAGAGGATTTGTCATTGTGTTGGTGTTCAGGAGCTGAGAAGATGAAACGTTTTCGGGAATCGAAGTGTTTGAAGGTGAAAAGGAGACGAGGACGAGTCTTTGACCTAGTCAGGAACGAGTCGGTGAAATCTTTACTGCGAATGATTGAGAACCAGAGCTTTGACACGTATTGGAATCGGATGATGGAATTCCCCGGAAGTCTAGCGAGTATCTCGATGGTGAGATCAAGAGGAATGTTTGTTGTGGAGTTTCCGGCGTCATCTAGGTTACTTGAGGGAGAAGGTTGTGAATCTTCCATAGCGGCTTGGTAAGTGATAACCCTAGAAACACAAAAGTCCTACATATAACACAAAACACTTACCTCATTATCTTACGAAAAAAATATTTTTTTTTCCAGCACATATAAGTTAGGGAAATCGTTAAAAATATCCCTTTTGGTGTGCCTTTTTCAAAAATGCCCCTTTTAGATGTCCATTTTCAAAAATGCCTTTTTTTAAATCTGAAATTTTTATAAAGTTTTATTAGGTTTATAAGGTACTTATGGATTGTAACTACTACTTGATGACTCGATCCAAGTATTTATAAGGTTTTATAAGGTGTTTTTAAAGGTTTTACAAGTTATTTTAAAGGATTTTTAAGGTTTTTCAAAGGTTTTACAAGATATTTTAAAGGTTTTTAAAGTTATTTAAAATGCATTTATAAGGTATTTATAAGGTATTTATAAGATTTTAGATACATAGAAATATAGTTTGTGTATGTTTTAATAATATTACATACATATTTGGGTAAATATTATATTTTTAAGAACATTTTTTATAAGGTTTTAAAAAAGGGATATTTTTTAAAAGTGGCATTGAAAAAGTGGCATTTTTGTAAAAGCCCCTATAACTTAACATAACACTAAAATAATATATTCTCTTTCAAAATAGAAAAAACATAACACTAATTTTTTTTCTAACTAAAAATACTGTAGTTTTAAAATTGTGAAAGTCATAACGTGATTTGAAGTATATAAAAGTTAATTAGTAACTCACATAATTTTGACACGTGTCGAGTCTATCTATCAAATTTTGATAAGTGTAAAAAAAAATTATAAATAGAAAAAGTTATATAATAAATTATAAATATTAAAAATAAAAGGATTACAGTTAATATTTTTGAAAAGTATATAGAAATATATCAATAAAAAGAAAATTCTATAATAAATTAAAAATATTGAAAGTAAAATGATTATAATTACTTTTTATGAAAAATATATAAAATATCAATAAAAAGGAAATTATAAAATAAATTACAGATCCCAAAAAAGGAACACAAATATTCTCTACAAATATATACAAATAAAATAATATAGTAAATTATTGATTATAAAAAGAAAAGAATCACAAATATTATTTTTTGAAATATATATTAAAAGATAATTATACATCTTAAATAAGAATTAAAGTAAATAATCTTCTAATATAAGTTAGATGTTTTAGAGTTATTAATTAACATGATCGCGACATGTGCAATAAATTGACGAGATTTTGACAAATGTAAAAAACTTTCTTCTAATTTGATTTTGACATATTCTATCACAAAAATGAAAATTAAAAATCTTTAACATAAAAGTTTTAAAAAAACATATATATCTTAAACTAGACAATTAAAAAAGATATATTTTAGTTAAAACGAGACAATTTTATAAAAGCCCGCACGGAGGTGGTCTAGTGGTAGTGAGAATAGGAAAGGTTGTAATGAGTTACCCCATGTTGAGGTTCGATTTATCCTAGAAAAAATCCCACAAAAGTGTGGTGTCAGGAGTTTTCACATGGCTCCCTGTGGCCTTGAGATTTGTCAGATCTCACAGCGTGTTGATCCGAGAACCAGCTAGAGAAAAAAGTTTTTGCGACCTGGCTCGGAACTCATGATGGTGGCTGTTGATCCAGATCATCCGAATTATCCAAAAAAAGAATAATAAAAAGGAAAAAAATATTAAAAGGGAAATACTATTACATAAAGCTTGATTTTTCAAAATTTTAATATAATTGCAACATGTGTTAGTCAGTCGATCATATTTCAATGCATGATTCAATCATGTTAATAATTTGATATTAAAAAATTAATTGTAGTATGTTCAAATTATTTACATTGATTTTTGTTTGCAGTTTTGAATTATTTTGATCCATCATATATCATCGTGCATAGAATTTTAGATTGTGATATGTATCATGATTTACTTTAAAGTTTTACGGTATGAATATCAATTTCTTTTCCTAATTTTAAATACGTGATGATTTAAAATGAAATTCTATATTGTTTATTTGAATTTTTATTTGCGGTAAGAAATATGTAAGATCAATATATGATTCTTATAATAATTTTAGTGTAAATGTAGTATTTTAAGATTGTTTATTTCAATATAAGTAAATGAGTGAGTGTAAAAACACATACGTGGTGTTGGTGTCGGATCCCGCACCAGAGGTCTAGGACCAACCAAAGATTGCCACGTAGACAGGATAACGGCCCATAAAGAATAAAGCCTATTAGATCCACAAGTCAAAAGAACAGTCGGGGTGGTTGTCAACATAAAGAGAATCCGAAGTGATTGCACCTCGAAACGAGTCCGGAGACAAAGTCATGGTTAAGTCGATCCTAAGGACATTTGGGCCAAAAGGCGAGGCCCATAAAGATCAGAGTCAAGTCAAATTCAAACGTTGAGCATTAAAGTCAAGGATCAAAACGGACACATTTAAGAGGGAATAATTGTACTTAATTATTCATTTTAATGTCGTTTCTCTATGTATAAATATAAAGGCCAATGGCCATGTAAAGGGGATCGGTCTCGAGAGCAAGAAATACTATAGCAATTTTTGTAGCAATTGATAAACCTTTTACATTCTTATTTTTTGTCCCTCAAGAATAATCGTTCCTATTAATAAAAATACTTGAGTGTGTGAATCCAACATCCACATTTTGGCGCCGCCTGTGGGGAAAGAGGATTCTTGAGTGGTCAGATTTTTTCTTTACTACATTTCCGAGATAACCAGCAATGTCCGGAGGAGATGCCGTTGAGACTTCATTGGCCGAAACCCTCAAAGCAATGCAGCAAACCATGTCGGACATATCACAAAAGTTCTCGGATGTGGAAAAGGCTGTCGATACGTTGCAAACATCCCAGGTATCTCTTAGTCAAAACGTCAATACTATACAAACTCGTGTTCGCTCTTTAAGTGCAGGAAATCCTGTGGGAATCCGAAGGAGGATACTCAACTCGCCAAGTTCCGTTGCGCGAAATGAAACCAGCGGACAAACAACTCTTGGTGCTACTAACAATGTAGTTCAGCCATCGGATGGAGAGGCACAGCTCGAAGACGAAGTTCAACTTGCAGATCAATACGAGCAGGAAAACCTCGACCAGTTCGAGACTATGAGGAAGGTTAGCCAAGAACTAAAGGAAATGAAGTCAAAGTTCCATCAAGCTACGAGTTCGGAGCCAGACATCAATCGAGTCATTGAAGAAGCTAGGCGAACACCTTTCATCTCGCGAATTGCGAGTTTGAGAATCAAAGATTCCCGAAAACTCAAGTTGGACCCTTACAGCGGATTGGAGGATCCAAAGAGCTATCTCGCAGCTTTTCTGATCGCTGCTGGAAGAGTCGAATTGGATGAAGCTGATGAGGATGCATGTTACTGCAAGTTTTTTTCGGAAAATCTATGCGGTCAAACTTTAATGTGGTTCACCCAATTAGAGCCGGGTTCGATCAGCAATTTCGACGAGCTATCAGCTGTATTCTTAAAGCAATATTCCATCCTTATGGATAAAAGTGTTTTGGATGCCGATCTTTGGAACTTATCACAGGGATCAAATGAATCACTTCGAGTTTTCATCACCAAGTTCAAAGGAGTGCTGTCAAAGCTCCCAAGAATCTCACAACAATCAGCTTTATCTGCCTTACGAAAAGGATTGCGACATGATTCAAGATTTAAAGAAGATTTAATACTTCATAAACCAGACACAATTCAGGATGCACTCTTCCGCGCAAACAACTGGATGGAGGTAGAGGACGAAAAAGAAAGTTTTGCCACAAGAAATAAGCAAGAGAAGCCGGCAATCACCGTCCCTACCAAGAAGTTCGAACCCAGGGAGAACAAAGGACCAAAGAAATTTGGGTCCCAACCCTTCAACAGTACCGTCGGAAAGCAATTCCAAGGGAAAGGAAGATCAAACACTTGGGTCCGTGATGAAAGTTTATATTGCGACATTCATAAAGTGACCGGACATTTAACCAAGGATTGTAGCGTTCTTAAAAGGCACCTCGCAGAGCTTTGGGCCAGTGGAGATCTTTCCAAATTCGATATAAAAGATTTTGTGAAGGAATACCACGAAGCAAAAGAAAATTTCAAAGATCAAAATTCCAAAAGACCAAGGTTAACTAACGAGGAAGAACCAAGGAATTCTAAGGGTAAGATCAATGTTATTTTGGGAGGTTCCAAATTTTGTCGAGATTCGATAAGTTCTATAAAAAAAACATAGACGAAATCTCCTACTCAAAGCAAGCTTGAGCAAAGAAGTCGATTTTCAAGGCGCATCAATATCATTTAGTGAAGAAGAAACGCGACACCTCGAAAGACCTCATGATGATGCTCTAGTCATTACCCTTGACGTTGCCACCTTTGAAGTATCGAGGATCCTTATAGATACAGGCAGTTTGGTCGACTTGATCTTTTTAAGTACTTTAGAAAGAATGGGAATCAGTCGGGTGGACATAGTGGGGCCTCCGTCTCCATTAGTTGTATTCACAAGTGAGTCAGCAATGTCTCTCGGGACAATCAAGGTACCGATCCTTGCCAAAAAGGTATCGAAGATCGTGGATTTCGTTGTCTTCGATAAGCCCGCGGCTTACAACATCATCCTCGGGATCCCCTGTATCAAATTTCCAACATCAAGGGGAGTGGAAACAATTCGGGGAGATCAAGAAGCTTCACGGAAGTGTTATCTAGCTAGCCACCGTATGAAGATTCAATAGCAATTAACGAAGCCCGCAAAAGAGGGACTAAGAACAAAATTTCCTAGCGGGCAGAAAAAGATGATGTAGTAATCGAGGTGGTGTTGGAAGAAGACAAACCGGACCGGAAAATTCGAATTGGGGCAACTTTGACAGGCCAAATAAAAGAAGCTTTGATCGAACTTTTGAGAAAAAACATAACATCATTCGCATGGTCAGCGGCATATATGCCCGGCATAGATCCAAGCATAATTTGTCATGAACTAAACGTGGATCCAAGCTTCAAGCCGGTGAAACAAAAGAGAAAAGAGCTTGGAGTGGAACGAGCAAAAATAGTAAATGA